AATTATTAATTTATTGTAAAAACATGACAGATAATGTGTGAAACAGATCCAGTTCAGCTTGTTGTTTATCTATTAGTTTCTATGTTTGCTGTTGACCTGTTTGGTCTGTTTCTGCTCCTCCATGATGTCAGAGGCTACCTGTGGACGGGCTGGGCGGGACTCAGTCTAGTGATCTTTATATTTAAGTCTATGGGTTTGAATAAGACCTCGCACTGGAGGAGCTAGTGAAGGTCATTTACCCAGCATGCCTTGCAGCATTAATAAAATGGTGCCATCCATGTGACAATTTATATTTTAAATTTATTTTTTACAAACATGGATTGTTTAAAATATATCTGCAGCTGTATAAATATGAAAAGCTTCATTTCAGACATGAATTCAGATCTCAGAAGTAGGCCTGCATGCTCTCATTTCTGATTAAAGAGGTTCTGTTAGATTTTTGGAACCACAGTCTGTGCACTGATGACGTGAGGCTTTAAGCCCCGCCCACTCTCTGGCATACATCAATGGAGTCACATGACTTTAAGCATGAAATAACTAATGTCAGACTTATTAAAGTGATGAATACTGAAGAAACAGAAGTCAAGAACTACCTGAATCATTGACAGCCGACACCTAAAAGACATTTCTAAAAGAACAAACAGAAGTTTGTTTTTATAAAGAACAAAGCCCCTTTTGTTTACATACAGGGGCAGGACTTAGAACTTGGACTACATCCTGGGAGGCGCAGTAGTGGCTCCAGCTTCCATTACGATGTAATTTAATACATCTCTAAGAGCTTTATGAATTGGAAGACTCAACATTCATCAAGGCTTGTTGAAGCAAACACACGTTGATTATTTATTGTTTGGTATCAGGAAGACAGGACTGTGACACAGATGTAGTCCTGTGGGTTCTACTGGAGCCACTTTCATAAAACCAAAACACTGATTACCCTGGTGCTAATCAATAAACTAAAACCAATCAGGTTCCAGCTTGTCTGAATATATGAAAAAGGTGAGGCTGGACCATGTCCACCTGGTCATGTTGGACCACCTGACCCTCTGCTGGCTGACTTTAAAACCCACCAGGTGACGTGACGACAGCACAGGTGGACAGATAATATCTGACACTTGTAACAGTCTTGTTTTTTACATCCCTCCACTCATTTTTCCTCCTTCCCTCGTCTCTCCGTGTGCAGTGAAAATATAATTACACTTCTTTCATTAAAGTGAGTAATTTTTAACGTAGAGGACACAACTACAAATGTCCTCTGATTACTAAATGGAACAGAGCAATGATCTATGGAGCCATTAGGGGAACGGGCTGGAACTAATTTCAATCCTGGAATGGGCCGATGGAAACACACACACACACACACACACACACACACACACACACACACACACACACACACACAGAGGGATCAAAGGATGAGGGAGGAACAAACAGCAGCATGTCGGCCATTTTCTGGTCTCACTCTGAGCTCTGAGCATGACCCAAACTGATCGTCTTCTGTCAATAAATGAGGAATGTTTCATCTTTAACCAAACATTTTGTTGGTTGGGTCAGACACACACACAGATTAGTGAGTGTGTCAGTAATTACTGAGGTGTTTCTATCAGCTGATGGGTGTTTCTGTCACAGTTCAGTCGTTTAAGCCTGACTCTGTGCTGCAGACAGCAGCAGATTAAACAACTCCAGGAGGTCCGTACACTAAATGAAGATGAGCGATCTGACTTTCATTCAGCTTCTCTGCTCGTTTTATCAACAGGCACACATGAAGAAGAGACAAGAGGAACATCTGTGATGATATTTGATCATGAGGTGAGCTCAGAGAGGCTCTGAAGCTTCCAGGACCTGTGCTCTCCTCTCAACAGATGATGGCGTTGATTTTTGGAGCGGTTGTTTTCCTCACAGTAATCAAAATGAAGCACTTTACTTTATTCTGCGAGTTGCATAAAGAGAATGACACGCTCCTTTTTGTTTCTGGAGCTACATCTGAATAGAAGCAGAAGCTGCCACTGAGACACACTGCAGAGGAAGACCAAAACTAAAGATAATATAACAAACACATTTTCTGTCTGAATAAAGACAAAAAGTCCAACAGGAAGCCAGAGATCCTGTTGAAGATGGCGTGCAGCTCACAGGGAGAAGTTGTCCACAATCAGTGTGACAGTTTGTCACGTTCATAGTTAGAGGAAAATAAATGTGTGTTTGAGTTATGTTGTTCGAATTCGGTGTAGTTTCATTGAATAGTCTGGTGTGGCGTGCTCAAAGAAGCCTACCTTCTATAGGAGATGTTTTCATGCGGCGGCAGATGCTCTGCACGTCTCCGTACACCTCCTGGATCTTGGTGACGGCCTCGCCACTCCGCAGCTCCATGAGGTCCCTCAAGTCTTTCACCGTCACCCCAAAGTCTCCATCCAGGTTGTCTTCTGCAACCGAATTCCCCGGCGGGTGGTCGGCCGTGTTATTGGCCATGTTGGTGCTTGTACAGTGCAGCTGCTCCTCTGACTGGCTTTACTGGAGGGATTAAACAAAACCATCATCAGAAAACAAAACATTCATTGAGTTTTTAATTTAGAACAATTAAATGATCATGAAAAATGGAAACAAAATGTAAAAATCTTCCAGATTAAACTCAGACTGTCGTCCAATGCAAAAGCGACGGAGCTTTGAAGAATAATAAAAACAGGTCTGGTTCTGAGTCATGGACACATGATCGATATCTATAGAAAATACATCTAGAACGTTGATCATCAGCTCACTCTTTAGTCCGTTAGCAACAAGCTGTGGACTAACACGCAGCAGCAGTCTCATGTTCTCTCAAAATAAAATAAAATCAGCTTAAAATAAAAACAATGAAAGGAGAAAATGATGCAACAGCTCCAGAACAAACTGTGGATAAAAGAGGAAAGGTCACATCAGCAGTTTGGCAGAATTAATGGTTCTTACTTTAAATAAGTAAAACAAACAACTAATAAATAATTATTAATATCAACAGATATGAAACACTTTTATTCTGATCTATTTTTCAGCCACAGCGCCCAGCCCGACTTCATCAGTACCATAATATGTGATGAATGAACAGAGGGGCAGGACTGTGGAAAGAAGCACCTGGTGGCACAGATTTGAGCAGAATTTCACAACATTTACACACACACACACACACACACACACACACACACACACACACACACACACACACACACACACACACACACACACACACGTGTGTTAAGAACACCACACCCCAGTCCAAAGGTAAACTTTTCCATCTTCAGACCTGAACAGCATACCTGTTCACAGCTGTTTTCGTACAGGTGGCTCACTGAGGAACTGACTTGTCCTTTAAAAAGCAACAACACAAAAACACACACACACTGACCTAAAGTGATACATGTTGTAATTTGACTTTGCTTAACAAATAGCCTGCTGCCTGTATTTAAATGTTGAACAAAGAGAGTCTGAATGACCTGTGAAGGCCTGAGTCAGCTGAGCATCACAGCTCAGCCTCTCGAAAACACAACAACACAAAAACACACACAAGTCTTCATTAATAAAAGCTACTCAACATTCAGCCCAGGTTTGTTACAAACAGAGCTGAACAGCTCAGATGATAAAATAAATCAAGTGTTTAGCTAAAAATAGTTAGACTCACAGCTGGACGCCCTGATGTGTTTCTAAACAAGCTGATAAAAGGACTCAAAGTTATTACAGCTCTTCTTTCATGTGGGACAGAAAAATACTTTGCAACTACAAAATCAATACAGACACAAACAGGTCTGATAGCTCATCATCTCACACTGACAAGCTGCATCCTGTTTTTATGGATTTATTTTTAACTCTTTACTTTATCTGCACAGATTTATCAGTCTGCAGTCTTCAGGCAGAACAACTCTACGGTGAAGCTAGTAGCAAGAGTTGTGTTTGTGTTGCACATATTACAACAAAAAGCTGCAGGAAACACAGTCATAACAACTACTACAACACATGATGTGCAGTGTTTTCCCTACCATTATACAGGTGGGGCGCAGAGCGAGGCTGAGCGCCGTGTGTGGTCCTCACAAAGATAGGAAGACATTAGTGTGATTAGACGTGCAGCTCTGCTTTTAATCACGTTGCACCGATGCAACAGCTTTGTGAGCTACTTTTTCTTTCTTTAAAATAAAATGTGACAGGTGAAGCCACAGCACTGTTACCTGATCAATAATTTAGAATCACCAACACAGACCAGGTGTGTGACCAGTCCCGTGAGTCCATTCATGTTGTATAAACAGCGCTGATCAGCAGCACAGCTGTAATGGTCCTCAACTTGGAAAAAAGTAACCAGAGTAGTTTGTAAACTCAAATCCAGACCGAATCAGCTGCTGTGCAGGTCCTGCTGGACTCAAACATGGAGCTGAGCTCCTCTGTCTCACACTGCAGGTCAGACAGTCGCGTTCAGGAGCATTAACCCTTAAGGGCCCAGATAATAATCCCTCTTTAAAGTGTGGTAAATAAATTATTTTCAGTGACTGAGAGGAAGTTTTTTTGATAGTTGCATAATTGCATTTTCTAAATGTTATCCTTTATATCTACAAGAGAGTTCTAATTCTTAGAAAGGACATGATTTGAGGTTTTTACTGACAATATTTTATTCAACAGAAGTCATAAGAAGCAGGTTTATTTTTGAACAAACATTACAAATGTGTTCATTCCTACAAAACTGCCAAATATATTTACAAACAACACTAAACTGATTCAGATTAACATCAAATAAATCCTGTTTTATAATTAAATGTCTGTTTCCTGCTATAAAGAAAAATCCTCCTCCTGTCCTCCTTGTTCCTAATCAGGGTCAGGGTGGGGCTGGAACCTGTCCTCACTGCCTTTACCTGGACAGGTCTCCAGTCTCCAGAGACACCTGGACAGGTCTCCAGTTCACCAGAGACACCTGGACA